AACTTTAAAGCATGCAATGCAGTACGTGTGTGTTTTTTTTTTTTTTTTTTTTTTTCTTCTTTTCTTCAAACCAGAATCGTTTTTTAATAAATAAAGCTTTCCTAAGTCCAATAATGGACACTCTGGCTGGAGTGCATCGTCTAGAACAGTCTCTCAACCAGAATGCCTTGGCCTTTTTTGTTTCACAAGCCATAGGTTTTCATTTTGTAGCATCACAGCCTTGGACACCTTGAGGGCCAGCTGCTTGCATTCTAACAACCAATGATGTAATTGGCTGAGGAGGACATGGCACTGCATCCTCATTTGTCTCTCTCCTTCAGCTCTAGGGTCATGTTTTCTGAGTGATGGGAGAGAAACACTGGCATACTAGTCAGTACCAGTGTGCAAAGGTATATTGCTTTGTAAGAATAAATCCCCTCCACTGTTGGGTGTCCTACGTGTATGGATGTTGCTGCATTATGAAAACTATTTGTTTCATTCTTTACATATGGAATAGGGTGCCTCCAGATGTGCAGAATTTTAAATTCTGGTCTAATGGCAGGAATACACGGTAAGAAAATCGACCTACCTATCGGTGTTCGTTGTTCGAAATCGTGGCCCATATTAACCAGTCGAAAAAAAAAAGTTCAAGCAATTCGTAGTGTTGACGTCTTCCATACAAGTGGAAGTGATGCAGTGTGCGTGTGACCTTGTAGCCACGCCCTGCCACCCAGAACGAGCATTCTCCTTTGTGACCGGCATTAGAACGTATTAATAGATACTTTGCTGGCTTCGAAGTGGAAGCATCTTTGTACGACCGTTGCTTCTTCACGAACGTCCGGGTCATCTTCTGTTTCCGCACATGCGTGATGGCGCTTGAGAGATATCTAGATAGATTTTTTTTTTTTTTTTTTTTCCCCCACACGACGGCCCATACCACCGCATAGAAAATCGGTTGTTTGCATGTGAAATGACATTTTTCAGTTCAACCCGATTTTTTTTTTTTTTTTTTTTTTTTTTTTTTTTTTTTTTCACAATATCATTACCAGTTATAACATCCTGGGTTGATCATTTGTTCAACAATTTTTCGTACAATTTTCTTACCGTATATTCCTGCCATTAGGGCTTTGTACAGCTTCGGAGTGTTGCCTTTTATAGGGAAATCTGGTTATAGAATTAGCATTCGGTCTGACATTTGAAGAATGGTTGGTTGCTTCCATCAGTCTTCCAACCTTTTTCTATTGCCTCCCTGACACTCTGTATGAGTACTTGGAATCAACCATGACCACTTTTTTTTTTTTTTTTTTTTTTAATAGAAATATCCAAGAAGGTAGAAATTGTTTTAAGAATTACTGGGCAGCCTCAAGTCCTGTACACATGGCCTGAATATCAGCCGGTATTGGCCAGTTCAATAGAAACCGTCTGACATTCGGCCCGTGTGTACACCCGCCTATGAAAATCCAGCCAAACAGGCTTGCCAGAAAACTCAGCATTCAATCAGTGTTGGCAGCCAATGGCCGGTGTGTTGGGGTGGTGGGTAGTCCCCCTGTTAGAACAATAGCTCCGCAGAAGAGCAGCTCATTAGTACAGATAAATGAGAGTTCCAATAAATATCAGTAATCTGGATAAAGGTGAATCTTGTTATCCCAGTAGTAAACAAATATTCTGGTGATGTGTGGGGTATAGTAAAAATGCACTCACTAGATGCGCATTTTAAGTGTGCATTATGTAAATATGTAGTAATCAGCCAGAGGTCCCCTCTACGGTAGGATGGAATACAGCCTGGGATGGATAACCCTCTGGAGCCTGGGGTGGTAAGAAGTCAGCCTACTACTGGGATAACAAGATTCACATTTATCTGGATTACTGATATTTATTGGAACTCTCATTTTTTCTATTTACATTTGTTTGGACATTCTTAATAATTTCTTTGATTATCCACCATGACATCATATTTCTCTGGATAATTAGCACTTTATTTGGGATATGGAGATATATTATTATTTATATTTTATATTTATATTTTATATTATAAATAATATAAAATATAAATATTTATAATTTATAATATATAAATATTATATATTCCAGATCATCAGTACTGTATATATCTCTAGCATTTTATATATCCTTGAGATTATACAGTCATTTACGCATATCCATTTTAGCGCTGCACATATATTTGTCATTTAGAAGGTATACCTTTTTAGTGTACTAACTGCTATTAAGCGCTCGCTGAGTCCCACTTTTACTGAGCTCATTAGTACAGCAAGCTCCTCCTGAGCGCTTCAGTGTTTTTTTTTTTTTTTTTTTTTTTTTTTTTTTTTTTTGTTCAGCAGCTAGGTTGACAGACTGGTGTGTGCCCAGCATCACATAACTCCAGTCCTCTTCTAAACATCACAAAAGCAGGGAGAGCATGTAAACATTTTAAGTATAAACCACCTAAAGTTTTTTAAAATGTATTTTAAGTTGTGCTATGTTGATGGAAAGATGTAACAAATAAGAAGTAGGTGTTGTCCCAATTTGGCTGCAAAAGTTGAAATTCAGTTTCCATACTATGCTTGCAAATGTGCCCTCTCTAATCCTATACCTCTCCTCTTTTTAGCTGCTCGACTGAACTAGCAGTGTTGAAGTGTGAGCAAGGTCAAGGTGAACTGCAACGACATGATCTTTATCAATTTGCCTGATTTTTCCTTCACAATTTTTGTTTTGAGCATCAAGCCAAAGCCACTTTGTGATCACTTCTTGACTGTCCTCTACCATTGTCTCGAATATGAAATACAAATTATTGTACAATAAAATGTTGACTTTTTTTAACCTAAGTCACGACTTGCCATCTTTTTTTAATCTGTTTTTAGACTAGAGGTAGTGGTCAGCTTTCTTGCATTTGGATTAAATGGTCTTGAATTCAAGTAGAATATAAACAGAGCCTATAGAGATGACTTAGGCTTGTCTGTATGGACTGATGGGCCAACTATTTGACTTGGATTCAGAGGGCATTCCATGCTACTTATTACACTTATGCCAGAGGGGTATCCATCCTGATTAGCAAATCCCTGCCCTGTGTGCTTGAGACCATTCATACTGACCCACAAGGGAAATATATGTTTTTCTGGTTTTCACACTATGGGGTCGAAAATGTGGTCGCTTCGATATATATCACTCTGCCCTTCTCCTCCACAATGCTACGTACACTTCTGGAGAGGATTCACCTGCACTGTCCCGCTAAATTGCTACTCATGGAGGACTTTAATGCCACCTTGTCTCCCGACCTGGACACACCTACCCCCAAAATATTTTTCCGCTGATCTGGTTAATTGGGCACGGGCGGCAGGGTTGGAAGAAGGTTGGAGATGGAAACCTACCACTCGATCTTATTCCTGTTTTTTCCACGTCCTATAAAACTTCCTCTCGTATTGACCTGGATTTTGCTAACCCCGCATTGTTTGCGGATGTTCTAACTGCTTCCTACCTACCTAGTGGATTGTCGGACCATTGTCGTTGGCCCTGATGCTCCGCTCTCCCTCTTCTCGTAACCCCTCCCTCTGGCGATTGGGACCCCACTGGATCTCCCACCCAACTGTTGCAAATGCTATTCCACCATAGCTAAGTGAGTTTTGCGACAATGCTGGGTCATCCTCTCCAGATGTTACATGGGATGCCTTTTAAGGCATATACAAGAGGACAATACATTTCCTCTATTGCTGCGGTCCGCAAAGCACACACCACTACCACACACACCTTTCAGTAGTCAGTGGAGGAATGTACTACCTAATATGCAGCAGATCCCTCTGAACCTAACTTTGACCTCCCCTCCATGGCCAAAAGAGAATTGCACCTTCACTTAGTTGAAATTACCAGATTGGATCTTCTCAATAGCAAACAACGATTTTGTGAACAAGGTGACCGTAATGGGTGGCAACTAGCAATGCTGGCTCAACACGATCACCTTAATTTCCCAGCTTCAGACCTCCATGGGGGGAATGGTTTTTTCACTGTCAGATATTATAGAAAATTCTGGCAATTTTACAATACCCTGTACACCTCTAAATTACCCCCCAGATTTCCAGGCTCATGACCTGGTCAGCTTTACTGGATCAGTTAGCACTGGGATGGCTCTCAGATGCAGAGGATGAGGCCCATTACTCCAGAGGACGTCTCTACCGCTATTCACTCCTTTCCTTATGGGAAAGCCCCTGGCCCTGACGGCCTCCCCATTGATTTATACAAGACTCAGTGATATACTCACCCTGTTTTTAGCCTCCCTGTACACACTAAGTTTATCTTTGGGTAAGCTCCCTTCCTCTATGAATCATGCCCATTTGGTGCTAATCTACAGTATTACCCCAACATTTCCTATTCCTGATATGTGCCTGCTGTACCATGTACTTTTATGAAAGTCTCCTGTTTCTTTGTATTACTTCCTTTTGTGTGACATAACCTAGGGTAGGGTACTCCATACACTAACTTATTATTTTTGCTAGATTCCTGAAAGCCCAAAGAAGGATCACACAGCTTATAAATCTTAAATTTTTGGTGAATTTGGCAATGTTTCCCTCAGGCTTATGTTTTAAGGGTAAGATTCCACCTTTCTGGTCAAATCCCAGTCTGCTAGGAGTGTTCCTGGGATATTCATCATCGGCCTTCAGTAACTCAAGTTTGTAAAACTTCTGCCTGGGCTTCAGTTTTTTACCCTTACTAAGTTTTTATCCAGTGGATGTTTCCACCTTTCTGAGGGCACTTTTCTGTCTATTATATCTGCCTGGAATTTGGTAAAAGCTGTTTTTCTCTGGTTTTTAGTTTTGGATATATATTTATTTAAAAAAAATTTCATAGCAATTTTAATCATCAGGAATTGAAGTCTCAGACATCTTACTACTTCTGGGGGATCTGGACAACCTAGTAGCCATTAGTCACAATGTATCTCTGTGTCTAGGTGTTCCGTGGCATGACTGGAATTCGGCTGTAAAACTAAGAGCAAGAAAAAAAGATGAGTTGGAGAAGGGCCTTCAAAAATTTGTTGGGGCGCCAGAGAAGAGTCATTGCTTCCGGTAATCAAGAGATCAGTCACGGCTTGCCTTTTATTTATATATAGATATATAAATCAGCCTTGCTCAACCTTTTAAACACAGAGAAACCCTAAAAATAGTTAGGTCTCAGGGAACACTTGCTATAAATGTCCATATCTAAAATCTAAAAATCAGGTGGACCTGAGGGAGCCCACCCCTCCAAAAAAAAAAAAAAAAAAAATTCCAGCTCTAACTTGGCAGCCAGCCTGCAAATCCCAACTTATAGCAGGACTGCGGCAGGCATTCTGACACTGGGGGGGGAACTTACTTTGTGTCACTGACATCCCCAGTGATACCAATACAGCGATCAGAGCTAATAAAAAGCACTGGCACTGGGCAGAAAGGGGTTAACATCTGGGGCGATCAAAGGGTTAACTGTGTGCATTTAAATACTGGGCTGTTTGTGGTTTACTGTACAGTAAGCACACTGCTTTGTATGGATTTGCTTTGCAGAGCCATGCAAAGCAGTGTGCAGGAGCTGACAGGGGAAAAAACTGTTTCGTTTACAAACACTTCTCCCTCGCCCGACGGAGAAACTCGACAATCACAGGGCGGGACTGGTGATTGACAACTGAGACCGCAAATGTTGGCACGGGTAGGTTGTGCGCTTGGCGTTCGCACGCACCCACTACCCGGAAATGCAAAATCACGTATATATATATGATTTTGCGCACCATTGCCACCCTGTAGCAGTACTTCTGCTATAGAGCAGACATGAAGCAGTTAAGTAAAATTTAACATATACGGAAAATCCCGTATCCACCATCATTCTCAGACTTCAAACTACCCCTACGATAAATCTCCCTACACCAACATAGTTCTCCTATCCAGTCCCTTCACTCTGTCCCTTTCACCGCCACCTATGCTCACCCTGAAAAACAAAAACAGAACAAACGTTTGTTTCATAAAGAAAATTTTGATCAAATATACACAAATTAAACGTTTTATATACAACATTGTTTCCATTCTTGCAATTTCCAAATGTTTCTTGCCTTAGTCTCACACAATTATTTTTTTCATAATCATGGTAAGCGTAACCTTAGATCAGTAAGGATTCATAGTTGGTTTGCTTGGGATGTACAAATATAAATCCCCAATCACAGGGCAATTCATGTAATGGTCCTTATAGTGATCCCCACCTCCTGTGCTCCTTATAGAAATGTCATGACAAGGGTACAATATACGCCTTCCAACCTAACCCAGCCTGCTAGGCCCTACCCTCCACTGACCCAGCTATACAAAATACACAAGCCAAGTTTTTGGAGTCAAAATGGCCATACCAGCCTTTTATTAACCAATAAATTATTTCAACATAAATAATATTCTAAACAGAGGAAAAACGTGGTGGTCATTTGAGGGCCATAAACCCAACTTCATTTTTGCGAAAAACATTCCTTCAACTTAGGCACCCAACCGCAACCCACCAGCTCAGGGACAATCCTACTTATCTCCAGCCACAACCCACCAGCTCAGGGACAATCCTACTTATCTCCAGCCACAACCCACCGGCTCGGGGACAATCCTACTTATCTCCAGCCAAAACCCACTGGCTCGGGGACAATCGTACTTCTCTCCAGCCGCGGCTCAGGGACAATCCTACTTATCTCCAGCCTCAACCCACCGGCTCAGGAACAACCCTACTTATCCCCAGCCACAACACACCGGCTTGGGGACTATCCTACTTATCCCCAGCTGTAACACTCTGGCTCTGAGATAACCCTACTTATCCGCAGTGAACACCATTTTACCTATTCTGAGTTAACCCCTTGGAATGTACCGAGGTCCCCATACCACTGATGGGTCCTGAATCTGTCTCCATCCAGAATTCTTTCCTCCTCCAAAGACCAGCCACTGCCAAGGCTGACATGACAATCAAAACCAAAGCACAAAGGGGAGGGAGGGTGGGAAGCTTCTTCTTCCAAAATTCTCCCACTGGACTTCCTGAGGTCAGACACTCCTTTTTCCTCCCTGTGAGATCCTCCCCAACATCCCTCATCCAATAAGGTAAGCCATAATCCCCAAAAATTTCCTACCCATCATTTAACCGTCTGTTGTCCCTCTATTCCCATAGTCATGTCGACCCTGCACTTATTTTTTATTTTTTTGCTCCGGGCCTACCTTTTGTTACATCCCTCCAATTGCAGAGCATTGATCCAGCATAGAAGTAAAAGTTTGTGATGGAAGTAAATTCACAGCATTTATAAAGCTGGTTTTAGGAAGGCCAGAAAATGTGATTCTCTCTGCTTTTCTAGATGACATCAGAAACTTCCACCGTCAGCTGAGTATGACGATCCATCACTGAGGAGGATATACGAGTATTACAGAGATGATCTGACCTACATCCTGGAGAACATGAACCCTCATTCCATCCTGGTAGAACTACAATGTCGGAAATTTTTAAACACAGATGTAAGATATTTCTACATTTCCTACAGTAAAATACAGTATGTGTGGTACAGGGGAACTCCATATAAAACACCCAATCCTTTATAATTGTACACCAAATCACTCAATACTGATCATACATACATACATCCCACATACAACTTTTAAAGCCATTTACACAACTGTTGCCACCAGAATATAATTATTATTTTTTTTTAAACAGCAAAGATGGCTGTATGAGTACGTTACCGCGGTGTTATGTTGTTTCTTTTCACATCACGAAAGCCTCACATCCATATCTCCATATACATGTTAGACATGCCCACATGGAATAAAATATATATTTTAAATATATTTCAAAAATATTCTTCCCAAATATATTGACATATATTTGAAATACTACATTTTTGGCCATATTCAATATGTTTCAAAATATATTTTAATAAATATATATATATACACACACACACACACACACACACACACACACACACACTGTTGCTATGTTGAAATGCGTTTTTACTACAAAAATATATAAAAAAATATTATTAAAAATACATTTTCAAATATAGTGTATATCTTTGTAAATGCATTCCAAAAATGTAGATTAAATGTATTTTTAAATATATGTTAACCCCTTCGCTCTGGCGCCTCCCGGCTCTTTAACGGTTTCAGAAGCCCAGAGGCGGGGTTTAGGGTCATGTGACCACGGTGACGCCGTCATGGCGGTCACATGATCGGGAAAGGTTCCAGATCGAAAGAGGAGATCGGGACCTTTCCGTGAGTACCGGACGTGCGCTGGGAGCACGCAGGGCGCGCGCGCTCTCAGCACATATATTCTTTTTTAATAGAACGCAAATGTGAGGCCGCTCGGTGTCTAGGCCCAGACGCCAGGAGGCCACACATTTGCATTTGGTTGGCCTGAAGAGGTTAAAATGACTTTTTAATATGTAAAAAAATACGGAAAAATATATTTAAAAAATATATATTTTTAATATTAGTTTTCATATATTTTGTAATATATAAAAAACACATTTCAACATGATATAGATATATATACAGTCATGGCCGAAATTGTTGGCACCCTTGATATTTTTCCTGAAAATCAAGTATTTCACACAAAAAAGGTATTGCATTAACACATGTTTTGCTATACACATGTTTATTCCCTTTGTTGTATTGGAACAAATATAAAACAGAGGCAGAAAAGCAAATATGACATAATGTCACACAAAACCCAAAAATGGGCTGGACAAAAGTATTGGCACCCTTAACTTAATATTTGGTTGCACACCCTTTGGAAAACATAACTGAAATCAGTCGCTTCCTATAACCATCAATAAGCTTCTGACACCTCTCACCCGGAATTTTGGACCACTCTTCCTTTGCAAACAGCTCCAGGTCTCTCTTATTGGAAGGACACCTTTTCCCAACAGCAATTTTAAGATCTCTCCACAGGTGTTCAATGGGATTTAGATCTGGGCTCATTGCTGGCCACTTCAGAACTCTCCAGCGCTTCTTTGCCATCCATTTCTGAGTGCTTTTTGACGTATGTTTGGGGTCATTGTCCTGCTGGAAGACCCAGGATCTTGGACGCAAACCCAGCTTTCTGACACTGGGCCCTACAGTGCGACCCAAAATCCTTTGGTAATCCTCAGATTTCATGATGCCTTGCACACAGTCAAGGCACCCAGTGCCAGAGGCAGCAAAACAACCCCAAAACATCATTGAACCTCCACCATATTTTACCGTAGGTACTGTGTTTTGTTCTTTGTAGGCCTCATTCCGTTTTCGGTAAACAGTAGAATGATGTGCTTTACCGAAAAGCTCTATCTTGGTCTCATCTGTCCACAAGACGTTTTCCCAGAAGGCTTTTGGCTTACTCAAGTACATTTTGGCAAACTGTAGTCTTGCTTTTTTATGTCTCTGTGTCAGCAGTGGGGTCCTCCTGGGTCTCCTGCCATAGCGTTTCATTTCATTTAAATGTCGACGGATAGTTCGCGCTGACACTGATGCTCCCTGAGCCTGCAGGACAGCTTGAATGTCTTTGGAACATGTTTGGGGCTGCTTATCCACCATCCGGACTATTCTGCGTTGCAATCTTTCATCAATTTTCCTCATCCGTCCACGACCAGGGAGATTAGCTACAGTGCCATGGGTTGCAAACTTCTTGATAATGTTGCGCACTGTGGACAAAGGCAAATCTAGTTCTCTGGAGATGGACTTGTAACCTTGAGATTGTTGATATTTTGCCACAATTTTGGTTCTCAGGTCCTCAGACAGTTCTCGTCTCCTCTTTCTGTTGTCCATGCTTAGTGTGGCACAGACAGACACACAATGCAAAGGTTAAGTGAACGTCTCTCCTTTTTATCTGCTTTCAGGTGTGATTTCTATATTGCCCACACCTGTTACTTGCCCCAGGTGAGTTTACAGGAGCATCACATGCTTGTAACATTCTTATTTATCCGCAGTTGTGAAAGGGTGCCAATACTTTTGTCCAGCCCATTTTTGGAGGTTTGTGTGACATTATGTCGAATTTGCTTTCTTTCCTCCCTTTTTTTGTTTTGTCCCAATACACACAAAGGGAATAAACATGTGTATAGCAAAACATGTGTTAATGCAATACGTTTCGTGAGAAATACATGATTTCCTGGAGAAATATCAAGGGTGCCAACAATTTCGGCCATGACTGTATATATATATATATATATATATATATATATATATATATATATATATATATTCTGAAATACACACTGAATACAGCCAAAATTGTAGTATTTCAAATATATGTCAATATATTTGGGAAGAATATTTTTAAAATCTATTTCAAATAGATTTTTCTTCCATTTGGGTGATACCTCTTCCTATCTCTCTCTGCATGTTGATTGGGGACGAGCAGCTAATATCGGCCAACTTGGTTTTGCTGTGAAATTTTTCCAAAAACTGTCTCAAAATTATTTAAAAAAAAAAAAAGTTTTCTTTTGAAAGCTGTGAGCATTACTGGCCTGGCAACATTGAATGGATGTTTTTTGTAGCATCTAGAATAAAAAGCTTTTAAAAAGATCAGAAAAAGAAACAAAAATGTAATTTAAAATATGCAAAAAAAGGTGTGTGTGTGTGTGTGTATATATATATATATATATATATAAAGGCAGGCGAGTGATCATTATGTTTTTGCTTGACCTGCTGATCACATGCCTTATAATAAACTGCATGTAAAAGTGAGTAAGAAGTGAGATAATCACACTGACCTCCATGTTCCCAATTCTGTGATTTCTGAAAGTTTTGCTCTAAGCGATCTCCGGGAGTTGAACCTTTCTATTAAATGCTGTAAATCAATAAAATAATATATGCTTAGAGTTCATTTTTTGTTCATAAAGCACTTCCAGCTCCAACAACAACCTTTCTTTTTTTTTCCTACCCACCTCTGAGCACCATCCCTTGGTTCCACTCCCTACCCACCTCCGATCACCGTCCCTTGGTTCCACCCCCTACCCACCTCTGAGCACCGTCCCTTGGTTCCACCCCCTACCCACCTCTGAGCACCGTCCCTTGGTTCCACTTCCTACCCACCTCTGATCACCGTCCCTTGGTTCCACCCCTCACTGAGCACTGTCCCTTGGTTCCACTCTCTACCCACCTCTGAGCACCATCCCTTGGTTCCACTCCCTACCCACCTCCGATCACTGTCCCTTGGTTCCACCCCTACCCACCTCTGAGCACTGTCCCTTGGTTCCACTCTCTACCCACCTCTGAGCACCGTCCCTTGTTTCCACTCACTACCCACCTCTGAGTACAGTCCCTTGGTTCCACCCCTACCCACCACTGAGCACCGTCCCTTGGTTCCACCCCCTACCCACCTCTGAGCACTGTCCCTTGGTTCCACTCTCTACCCACCTCTGAGCACCGTCCCTTGTTTTCACTCACTACCCACCTCTGAGTACAGTCCCTTGGTTCCACCCCCTACCCACCACTGAGCACCGTCCCTTGGTTCCACTCTCTACCCCAACTCTTAGCACCGTCCCTTGGTTCCTGTGACTGGAGTGACTTTGAGAGGTGGGGAGACCCCTGTCTCAGCTCCCCATATCCCTATTATGTGTAAGTCACCCTGTGCCTGTTAGGGGTACAGGGTGAAATGTTCTAATATTGGTGTGGGGATTGTTCACTGCCATGCAGCTGCATCCCATTGTTCTATTGTGTGGTTTGCTTGGGAGCAAACAATTATGGGATGTATGTGTTTGTGTATTGGCTTGGTGGGGGTGTTTCCCGTTAGCCCTCCTGATGGGACTGCCTGCTGATGTATTTCCTGTGACTGGGTGTATTTCCCCGCCCTGTATATATATCTTGTATCTATGTTAAAATAAAGCAGTATATCTCCTGGGTTTCCTTCTAGCCTGGTGCTGTCTTGTCTTGTAAGGCCAGCGGTGATGTCCATGGATCTGTGTTCGGACAGGGAAGCGGGAGGCTTCTGAGCACCGTCCCTTGTTTCCACCTCCTACCCGCCCCCCAGTTACCGCTCCTTTTAGAGAATACAAAGCCAAGTATTATTTTGTATAGAATTTGTTAATGTTAACGAGAAAAACAGTAAAACACTCTGCAGCCAGCAACATTAGCCCCCCCAGCAACAATAGATTCCCCCAGCAACTGTGGGCCATCACAACAAAATTCCACCCCAGCAAGCAAGAATAGACTCCCAGCAGCAAATATCAATAGACTCCTCCCTCAAAAGTACTGTAGATCTCTTCCGCCAACCACTGACCTCCCAGGAACAATAGATGCCTTTCCATCAACAATAGATCCCTCTCCAGCAACAATAGACCACCATGCAAAAATATATCGCCTCCAGTGACAATAGATCCCCAGCAGTCAGTATCAATAGACCCTCCAGCCTCCCTTGCCATTCCATACATTAAAGCAATACTAAACCCCCAACAGTACAATCAGTCTGTAGATGCAGTGAAGCATGCTTGTTCTACTCACTATGGTACCTAAGGGGTTAATCCTCTGCATTGTGTAAAAAGGCAGTTTGATCCTGTCTTCTCTATTCCTCCCCTTTATCAAGTGACCACCACTTATCTCCTGATAAGACAGACTGAACTGTAGGCACTTTGCACATGCTTAGTTTGGTGTGTATCGCTAGAGGTTTTTTTTTTCTCCTTGGGAGAGTGCTCAGCAAAGGGCCAATCAGCACTGGTCAGACAGAGGTTTGCAACCTTCTAAAGCAGAAAGAAAACTTCTATCAGTATCCAGCAGAGCACTGGTTAAAGCTTGTAAGAGAAGTCCCAAGACTGCTATATACTGCTGGTGAGAAAAGGTATTTAGCAGTTTATATTTACTAAAATAATTGCATTTCCATGGTCTGTGTACTGTGGGAGATACAGTGAATAGGGTAGTGAATGAATGGGTCCGGGGAGAGAGGATACAGTGAATGCAGGGTCCGGGTGATGAGGGTCCAGGGGATATAGTGAATGCAGGGGGGGGGGGAGAGCGGATATAGTGAATGCAGGGTCTGGGGAGAGCGGATATAGGAATGCAGGGTCCGGGAAGACCAGATATAGTGAATGCAGGGTCCTGGGAGACCGGATATAGTGAATGCGGGGTCCGGGGAGAGCGGATATAGTGAATGCAGGGTCCCGGAATGCAGGGTCCGGGAGAGCGGATATAGTGAATGCAGGGTCCGGAGAGACCAGATATAGTGAATGCGGGGTCCGGGAGAGACGGATATAGTGAATGCAGGGTCCGGGGAGAGCGGATATAGTGAATGCAGGGTCCGGGGAGAGCTGGTATATAGTGAATGCGGGGTCCGAGGATTAGTAACACTTTAAGTGCTGGAGGTACCGGAACTGCGTTCCCCCCGCGTTCTCGCTGACAAAAAGCCCTGATCCTATTACATCAACTGGTGTTAGAAGGAGGAGCCATTCGGAAAAAGCACACAAAAGTCAGGCAGTGTAACTTCACTATGACAGGATTTACTTTTCTGAACAGAGCAGTCAGAGCAACCAGAATTATTTTTTTATGTTTTACCTAATAAAACACTATATTGAAATCACATTTCTAAATGTGGTAATGGGACAATCATAAGATGTCTTTTTGCAGAAATACCTGTCAATGGAAAAAGATCCATGTTCCTTCTCTCGCACCTTGTTACAAGATATTCGGAATCGGGGAAGAGAAGCTGTGATTGGACTCTGGGAATGTCTCTATATGTTAAAGAAAGATCGTCCTCATCCGAATTTATTGGCCGTTCTGGATGAGATCACACAGAGAGGTAACAGGACTTTGTGTTTTCAGTCAACATTGAGATAAAATAATGATTGACATCAATTACCCCAAAATAGTGACATCAATTACCCCAAAATAATGATTGACCTCAATTACCCCAAAATAATGATTGACCCAATTACCCCAAAATAATGATTGACATCAATTGACATAATGATTAACATCAATTATCCCAAAATAATGATCGACACCTGTCACAGATTCACCCGCACGCCACGCCCACAGCGACTAGCTAACCGAGGCACGCACGACTTGGGGTAAAGAGGGAAAAGGGGGACTTGACTTGAATATACAAAACCGGCCGTGATATACTTTCACAGTCCGCACTACCTCTGGCCACCACTGGAGGGAGACTCCACTCTAATACAGCTAGCTGACCACACACACAGGCAGATTCGATCTTATATACAATCTGGTGCCCTAATTAGGGTTGAGGAGCAGCCTAGCAATCGGCACACCCTTCTAGGATTCCTCCAGCTATCCTACAAGCTAGAACCCCGATGTTAATCACTCTTCCACTGTCCACACACCCCCACACCAGACACACCAAACAGTAGCTTGCCACCACCCAACAGTTTTATCCGCAGAATGGTCTGCTGGGCCACCACACACACAGATCTCCATCTGGCAGATCTGCTACCTTACAATCTGCATGCAATCTGCCAACACACAGTGCAATTGCATACAGATAGGCAATGAACTTGACCAAGCATATAAAGACACTGCAATACTATACAATCTAATCTCTCCGGAGATATGAGCCCAAGTTTAAGTACTCAGAAGTCACTTATTAATTTTATGTTTTCATATCCCAAAAGTGGGCAGTGCATAAAATATGTACAAAGTATAAAGAGTTACAAAAAATACAGAAAATACAAAAAGACACACTATTGACTATAAAATAAAAGGGGATAAAACCAGGAATAAAACTTTACCAAGATTTATCCTGCGACTGGAGCAAGTCAGAGAAAGTCTGCGATCCGTCAGTCAACGGGCTCTGTACGAATCACACTGTCCATATCTCAAGTCCTCAATTTATAGGAATATGGACATAGGCTGGACATTAGCCCTTGGCCAATCAACTCCAGGGGGTGTTCCTGTACCAGCCCACAGGACATTCTGTGTACTGAAACGGCCAAAGTCGATTGGACCACGAACGGTTTGAATCACCAAGTCAGGTATTGCATTTCCGAAACCAGCACATCAGTCCGATCGCGACAGTACCAATCACTGTTCAGCTGTCGCAATCAAGCGCCATATAACAATTTTCTGCGTTTCTCTGGTATTCTACATAGGCTACAAATACAGTTTTACACGCAGATGTAGCCTACAGTGTGTCCAATCAGAAGGAATTATTTTCATCTCTCTGCAACTAATATTTTAGCTTTCATGAGAGATGAAAAATATTCCATTGATCTGCTGATATACTGTAGGTCAAAGCTCCTAGACACATTGGAACTACCTCTGGTCTCCCACTGTGTCATGAAGCTGAACTGTCTAGAGCCTTTTCCTTCCAGATTTCCAGAAGGTGACCATGTCTTATTGGCACACAGGTGTCACCTCCAGCCTAGAGGATGCTCTGTCCTTTCAGATGCTAATTGGTGACCATATGTCTCTGACTTAATTCTGTACACATCTTATTATTAACATGGAATGAAGTCAGATATACAATTACATATCTCAATCACTCAAATCTTACATGTACGTTACAACACCAATTACCCTAAAATAATGATTGACACCAATTACCCAAAATAGTGATTGACATCAATTACCCCAAAATAGTGATTGACATCATTTACCCCAAAATAGTGATTGACACCAATTACCCCAAAATAATGATTGACATCAATTACCCCAAAATAATGATTGACTCCAATTACCCCAAAATAATGATTGACTCCAATTACCCCAAAATAATGATCGACACCAATTGCCCCAAAATAATGATCGACACCAATTGCCCCAAAATAATGATCGAGACCAATCACCCCCAAATAATGATCGACACCAATCACCCCAAAATAATGATCGACATCAATTACCCCAAAATAATGATCTACATCAATTACCCAAAATAATGATTGACACCAATTACCCCAAAATAATAACTGACACCAATTATGCCAAGTGTAACTCCATTGTTGGCAAACTACACTGTGTCAGGGATACTATCGCCGTGCAGCCATGCGACGGCAACAGATCCCCTGGGGCCATGGAGGTGCGAGTGCCCAGGGGCGTGCATGCGCAGAAGCGCGCGCATATGCAATAGCGTACACGTCACCGCTAGGCAGGCTATTTAAACCTGCAAGACATTAAAATCAATGCCTTCTGGTCTACAATGTCCCTGCACTTATTACCTGATTCTGTGGCCTGTATCCTGATCTGACCTGACTAAGAAAGAACTCTGCCTGCACCAACCTCGGCTATCCCTGACCATCCGCTTGCCTGCTCCCTTGTACTTGATCTGCTTGTTTAATACTGACCCAGCTTGTCTGACTTTGCTGTACCTACTTACCTGTACTTGCACCTGGCTTGTATTCTGACGGCTGCCATACTTACCTGCTGCTGCACCCGGCCTGCATCCTGGTCACTGCCATACCTGCCTGCTGCCACATCCACGCTCCTGTGTCCAGTCCCAGTCTGCATCCTGATTGCAGCCATACCTGCCTGCTGCTGCACCTACGTTCCTGCATCTGCGCCTGGCCTGCATCCGGATCTCCTGGGTCTTCAGCTACCTGCCACCAGCTACAGATCTACCCAGCACTTATGCCACTCCTGGCTCTGCTCCTTCTGTTCCCACTATCAGGGGCTCTGAGCAGGAGTTGTAAGAGGACACCTTCTCTCCACGTCAGGCTCCCCAACCATGTACGTGACACATTGTCATTGTTCTCTCTTTTCCTCTTTGACAGAGTTTCTCTCCTTCCCATTTCTGGTTCAATATTTTTATTAAGAAAGGTTTGTTTTAAGAATACAACAAGCTCAAGATATGCCACACAGGGGCAGAGGAGAACAATATTAGATAATTAGGTACATCCAGCTGACTTGTTTTAGCCAAATAATGGAATGTCCAATGACAACAAGGAGGGATGGCAAAAAGCCAAACCAAGTAATGGCAGTAACAATCCATCACATTACCACAAGAAAGAAGAAGAGAAAAAAAAAAGAATCAGAAAGAAAACATGGAGGAAAAGGAAAAACTAGAATAATCACAGATCCAGGGCTAGCACAGGTAGTGACTAAAAGAGGCCATAACTAGTAGGGGGCAGGGATGGCAAGGAATAACGTATCCAAGGTTCGCAAACTTTAAGGAATCTTGGATGAGAATCATGAAGAACGCTAGACATCTGTTCATTGAGCAACATAGCATTCATCCGGGTCTTCACCCCCTGGAACACAACCGAAGTGGTTCCCCAGGCTTGAGCTATGGCACGTTTGGCCGAAATAAATAGGTAGGATGACAATTTCTGCTGAGACCTAGACAGACCAAAAATTGGGCAATGCAGGAGGGCCACCCTTGCATCCCTGCGAACTGTAATATGGAATAGCGTTTGTAGCAAACCCAAAAACCCTAGACCAGAAGCCTATCAATCACGGGCACGACCACCAAATGTGCAAGACGTCCCCGCACAGACCACAGTTCCCAGAAACACCTATCTCCGCCAGTCAGATTAAAGTGAGCAGTCCGAGCCAGGACCCAGTACCACCGCAGGAGAACTTTGTAGGCTGCCTCAAGAGTGACTGTATTGAATGAACATTTCGCCACCATCCCCCAGGCCCTACGCCAATTCTCCGACGCAATTGAGACACCCAGATCTCGCTCCCATTGAGAGACATAAGACAGGGGTGGTGAGGAGGACCTACTGTTAAGGGAGGCATAAATTACAGAAATGATACCAGGGGACCCTTGAGAATGCTGGCAGACTTGTTCAAAGGGCATTTTGCAATAAAGATATGTAGAGGTACGACGAAGGGATAAGACCCAGTGGCGCAACTACAAATACCGATATTATTCACGTTGCAGGACCTCCCTTGATTCTCGAAGAGATTCCCATGATGGAAATGCACGAGCATACAGAAAATCATGTACAATGCCATGGGAGGTCCACCAAAAGAAAGAAGGGGGATGTTCTAGGCCCAGTGGAAATAGAGGATTATTTGTAATCGGCAAAAGAGGTAGAAAATGATGATATCAAATTACCCGAATATTTAACAGAGTCCCAGGTTTGTAAACTGTGAAGCATGATAGGGCTCAAATCTGGAGGGCGTGACTTAGGCGGGAGCCAAAGCAATGTAGTTAAAGAAAGCGGAGCACAGTTGGGTAATTCCAAGAGTACCCATAACGGGATATCCGTCTTTGCATGAAGCATAGACAACTGGGAAATCTGAGCCGCCAAGTAGTATCTAGAAATATGTGGAACTCCCAAACCTCCCTGCAATCTATGAGTATACAGAGTGGCTCTAGGCACTCTGGGACGTTTATGAGCCCATATGAAACGGAAAATCCGGCTTTGCAGTACACAAAGAAAAGACGCAGGGACCTGAATAGGGAGAGTGTGGAAAAAGTACAGGATCTTCGGTAAGATAGTCATCTTAACAGCATGTATCTGGCCAATCCAAGATAAAGAAGGAAACTGCAAAGAATGAAGAGGGGAAGTAACAGAGCACAATAAGGGGTAATAGCTAGCTGAAAATAAGGTAGAGTAGGAGGAAGTAAGTGTAACGCCAAGATAAGCCAGAGAATGGGATGCCCAACGGTAGGGAAATTGTGTCTGCAACTGTTCAACCAGGTCGGCAGGGAGCATAATATTCAATGCCGTGGTTTTAGACAAATTGATGTGAAGGCCAGATATAGTCGAAAAAAACGGTCCAATATGATCTGGATATTGGGGAGAGTGATGAGAGGATTGGTTAAAACCAAAAGAGCATCATCCGCTTAAAAGTTGGCCTTGTTTTGAGTGCCAGCA